GGAGATCCTGGGGCTGGCTTACGATGGGCATGTATGAATGTGACACTGCCACATGTATATTTTCACTAAGTTTCCTTGCTGTCCCCTCCTACCCATAAAGATGTGCTGGAGAAAGGGATGGTGGGAGCCTCTCTCCGCTGTAGCTATAATGTCCAGGACACTTGGTGCCTCTGGGTGGCCACAGCAGTTGCAACATCTCTGGTGAGTCCTGGACAGCTGCGCCTGTGGTTTCCCTTTCTTTTCTCTCTAATGAGCACTTAAGATCTGGAAACCGCAGTGCTCGCTGTGGCTTACTGGGTTGGAGCATTCCTGCCATTACATGGAAACCCTTACACAACTCTGGAGGTTCATGTCACTGTGTTCCTACCCAATTCTGATGCTTCATGCCCCCTCCCTGCCTCTCTTTTTGTTCGTTGCTTTGTTTACCTGGCGAGTAGTACATGCTTTGTTTTTGCATATACGCTCTCTCCCTCTAGGGCCACGATTCCCACCCTGGGAAAGTTTTGCCTCTCAGGGGACATCAGGAAGTGTCTTGAGACCGTTTTGGTTGTCAAGACTGAGGGATGGCTGCTCCTGGCATCGAGTGGGGAAAGGCCAGGGATGCTGCTAAGCATCCTACAATGCACAGAACAGCCCCACCCCCAAGAAAGAATTATCCGGCCCAAGAATTACCCGGCCCAAAGTGCCAACAGTGTCAGAATCTGCTCTCAGGTTACACAAGAACTTTCTTGAGGCAGCAGCCAGGCTCCTCCCTTTTCAGCAGTGGGGAGGAACACTTAAGAGAGGGATGGTGACTGGCCATGGTGCAGTGATGCCACCCACCAAAGGCCAGAGAAGGAGTAGAAAGAGTTTGGGCCCAGGACACCTGGTTTGGGGGTATAAACCTGGATAAGCTACTTTGCTTCGGTAAACCTGTTTTCCCACCCAGAAATTAAAGAGCTGCGCTGGGTATCCCTTCCAGTTCTTTGAGATTCCAGGATTCCGTGAGTAGAGCCAGGAGCTGGGTCACTGGCAGGTAGAAGACGGGGGTCCTTCCCGTTCCATTCCTGCCTCGCTGCCCACCCCGGTGGGGGGTCCTGAGGGATTTGCCAGTACCAAGAGTTTGTTTGAAACCTGGTTTAATTTCCTTCTAAGTCCAGCATGACGGAGGCAGACCTTTACCTTTTCTTTTTATTTTTTAGCCAAAGAGAATTTTCCCCAAAATTTGGCCTGGGGTGCCCATGGCTGGCCTAGAGGGTCCCATATCTTGTTCAGGGGTCAGGGCCAAACTCATCCTGTCATCTGTTTTTGTAAATAAAGGTGGGGTTTTTGTTTTTCAGTTTTACGGGTTTATTCTAAAGGTTGCAGTTTGCAACAGCAGATGAACAGACGCATGGGACAGGGTACTGGGGTGGGGGTGGGGCCACCCTTCCAGCACCTCGATGTGCTCACCAGCCCAGAAGCACTCTGTACATAAAGTTTTACTGGATCACACCCATCTGTCTCTCTGTTTGTTGTCCATAGCTGCTTCTGTGCTGAGAAGACAGAGTTAAGCAGCTGTGACAAGGGCCATATCAGCCACAAAGCTGAAAGTTATTTACTCCTGGCCCTTTGCAGAAAGTGCATGCCTGGCTGCTTCTGTGCTGAGAAGACAGAGTTAAGCAGCTGTGACAAGGGCCATATCAGCCACAAATCTGAAAGTATTTACTCCTGGCCCTTTGCAGAAAGTGCATGCCTGCCCGGGTCTAGCTGTCCAGCATCTAACTGTTCAGAGGTTGAGGTGGGCAGGAGATGGGGCCAGAGGGATGGTTCAGGCTAAGATTAGGGAAGGTTAACTTTTTTAAGGGTTTGGTGGGGATGAGGGAGAGTTGACCAATGACCAATTGCAGAGGGTCATCTCAAGTCTTTCCAGGAGAGTCCTCCCCCAGCTTTGAGCTGGCCATATCATCTGTGTGGCTGGTCTGCCCCGGTACCTGGCTCCCACCTCACAGAACTTCATGTTTGCTGGAGTGACAAGCAGTATGACTGCCCACGCATGGGGATGGGAGACACTTGCTGATGGGGGACGCCACTGGATTGGGCGTCAGCAGCTTGGTGTGGAATGAGAGAGCGTGGGCGTGGGGGTCAGAGGACACACAGGTCAGGCTGGAAGCTCTGGAGCTGTGGAGCTAAATGAAGGCAGAAGGGGGGAAACGGAGGGGTCAGGTGAGGGTAGGAGGGAGGTGTTGGACTTTCAATGCATGTTTAAAGACCAATTGTGTGGCACGCACTGCTAGACGGAACTCACTGGTGAACAGACCCTTCAGAACCCTCTAGAAGCTCATAGTCCAGTGGGAAGGTTACAGTCCAGCCAGCGGGGATAGAATGATATAACCAGTGCTTGCCAGGAGAGGGGTCTTGCAGAGTGCTGTGGGGGCAGATGGCCGGGAAGACGTGCCCTGGCCTCGGAAGGTTTCCTGGGAGCAGCAACATCCCAGTTGAGCCCTGAGGACATGCTGGGTCTGCCAGGTGGCAGATGCTGCTGCAGGGAACTGCTTTGTCAGGCACAGCAGCTCAGGGGCCAGAGCAGAGTGCAAGGGTAGGGGAGGAGCATGCACTGGCATTGAGGAGGGAGGCTGGGGGTGTCACTGGATCAAGGGGTTTGCATTGGTGGGATGTCACCGTGGACAGGTTTTGTTTGAGCTAAGAGAAGGGCGGACTGGAGAGGGACAGGAGGGGAGGCCTATTAGGTGGATGTTGGGGACTGGTGGGATGTGGTGGCCTCGCCGGGGCAGCAGCTGGGAGTGGGGGGGAAGCAGCCCAGGTGGGGCCCCCACTGTCCGAGCTTTGCAATAGGAAGGGTGGGCTTGGAATGAAGGTGCCTCTGAGAACTGTGCTGCTAGCAGGGCTGGGAGGGAGAGAGGCAGTCACTGGGTGGCCTAGCGCCACCCCTCACTTACCATACTTTGTTAAATCCCTGCACACGTCTCTCCCCACCCTGCTCAGCTGTATTGGGCTTAACATTTGGGGCAGGTTCCTCTGGAAAGAAAGGGACTGGTTTGGCCACGACACTGATCTTCAGCTTGGCCCTTGCCAGGAGCTGTGTGGGTGGTACCTCCCGGCTCTCGTGGGCTCTCCCTCTGCTGTTCTTTGGATTTCTGGTTATCACCCAGGGGTCTGCAGGTCCCAGGGGGGCTAAGTCATTTAGCGTGTAGTCCCTGCCTCCCTGCTCCCTAATGATTAAAAAAACTTGGGAGAGAGTTTCCCAGTCTTGATCTCCCTGAGAAACCAGAAGGTGGATCCTCGGCAAAGAGCTTGGGGCCCCACAGGGGAGACGTCGCAGTTGGGATCCTCATTTATGGAACACCCAACAAGGGCTGAAAGGCCAGGGAGCTGGTTTGGTGGGTCCCGGCAGCCCCACCCCAATTCTGATTCAGAAAGAGAGCTGTGCCGCCTACATATGTGGAGGTACTGGCAGCACCTCTGTCTCCCTGGGCCTGTCCTGCCCACTCCCTTCTCTCTGAGGATTGTGACTCAGGTCAATTTGTCCACTAACACCACAGGAATTGAGGTTAGACAGCAAGAAGAACTTACAGCATGTCTCCAGACTGGTTGTTCATAGGCGCCAACTTGTAGGCTCAATCTCTTCCCTAGACTGCTGCCCGGAATTGCTTTATGTACCTTCACGTCCTTAAATGTGGTGGTGTTTGCTCTGGCAGCATCCTGATTTGGGGGGGGGGGGGGGG